AAATATGAAAATAAAGTTTAAAAAAATCTGCAGAATTAAATTATATCTAAATAATTAACATTGCAAAACTACTGATTTCTTTTCTAAATTCCAAAAATTGAGGTATAGCAAAGGAGATGTCATCAGTCAAAAAAAGTGTGCCTTAAAATAGCTGACTGTTGGAAAAATCTCTCACAGAGATATAAAAATAGTGCATAACAAATGTCAAAATGGATCAAGGTTTGGCAGGGTTAAGGTTAGAAAAGAATACTCCAAAAAATCTGGAGGATCATGGTTAGGTAACAAATAGGGAACATTGACAAATAAATTAGTAAAAAGCTCTTCTTAAAACAGCATCAACTTTAAACATTAAAAACCGGAACCACAACCACAATAAAACAGCAGAGTTAGACATGAACCACGTATTGTACAGTACAAAAAAAGCACACCGTAGACAACCAAGATAAGATCAACACTTTGCTTACGTTGAAGGATTGTCCCAAAGGGGCTGCGCGGAACAACAACGCCCTCCTCCTTTCCACTCTTACACATCGGGCTCTCAATTCTGCATTACAACATCGGCCCCTCCAGCGCTCGCCTAGCCTGCAGAACAACCCCTTGTTCCCTTGAAAAGGTAGGGCTAGTTGCATTAAAAACGCTCCCAGATAGACAAAAACACTGCTTAAGATTCTCCTTTTTCTTAGTCTTGGGTTAAATATTGCCTCTGTCCTAACTACGCTTGGTTTTTTTTTTCGAGGTCGTTACCAGAACTCCTTCATTAAAATAAAAACACTATCCTTGACTGTCAAAAGTAGCTACTTTTCATGCAACAGTGACCCCAGTTTGACAGAAGACCACAACGCACACAGGTCAAACATGTAAGCAAGACTTTTTTTTGTTGTTTTTGTTTTTTTTTTTCTTTTCCATTTAAGCCAAATTTCACTGTTGTCTCAAAGGTAAAAAAAAAAAAAATTTAGTTCGTTCTGCAACTAGCCGTCCGTTATCTTAACACCTTCTCCATTTTGACTTTTACTTAAGATTGAATTTCTAAAGCGTTAGGCGTTCTTAACAGAAGTCTGGGTTTTGTATGCATTTGCCGTGGGTTTCTCATTTGGTGACTGGTGAGCAGTGTGCTGGCCATCTTTGGTTTGTAGAGGAAATCTGAACCATCAACAATCAAGGAGGAAGAGGGGAGGGAGGGGACGGGGCAGGGGATTGGGGGGACTTAAAAGAATTTTTCAAAGGCTAGCTTGTTACTCAAACTCGCATCTATACTACGTCACGCCACGGTTAAGTAGAAGCACACGTCACAAAATTGCACAGGGATTACAATATTACATCCAGTCTGCATAAAATTGAATTCCACTACTGACCAGGTCACAAAATGGCTGCACTTTCTAGTCTAAAACTAATTTGCATATTGTACACATGTAGGACATTTTTATTTTTTTTTAACTTCAGTCACAATAAATGCATGCAAGTTTGTTTTTTTTTTTTGTAACAAATTTTGTAGATTCGCTCATGCTACCTAGTTTCAAGAGAGCCTTTTTTTTTTTTTTGAACATCTGCAATAACTCACCTCTTGTTAATTAATAGTTCTAGTGCATGCATATGGTGTATACAGGTAAGTAAACATGCAATTTTTTTTTTTTTTTCACATTCTAAAACTATGGCAGTTTAGGCCATATTGTGCTGCCTGCATTTAATCTGTAATGCAGTGTGTCTTAAAACGTTTCAATCCCGTATTAATAGGTGGCATTACACATAACACCTATATAGCAGCAAAGCTAATACAGCTTGTGATTAAAAATGTTTAAAAATAGCTAATAAATCAGATTATCTTGAGGTATTATTTCTTGCAAGTCAAAATGGAGAGCAAAAAATCAACCCTAATTTTTAGTTTATGTATACACTGAAAATAGCAACAACAATAAAAATAAGCTTTTTGTAGCAGACATATTCCATCTTCACTATTTTGCTACCTTTGGTAAATTACTGGGGCAGATCTTGAAGTTAAAAACCCATGTTTAGAAATAAGTGCACGCTTCACCCACTAAATATAGCAGCAGACTGTGTGCCCCTACGCAAAAACATTCTCATATCTAGTTTTAACTTTACATATAAAAATAACTTGGAGAAAATACAAAAAAACATTTTATTTTAACATGAAAATATCACAAAAATTAGTAAGCCTGAGATGTAGGGTTTTGGTGAAAAACAAGAGGCTTTGTAGTGTTTTGGCTGCTGATAAAGATGCATGTATTGATAGCTGGGGTGAAAAGCAGAAGAATGCACTTATTTCTTCTGCATGTCAGTTATCTCCAAACACAGTAAGCCACATGCACCCTTTCTTTCCTTTGTGGAGATGCTGGTTCGCCATGTTCTAATTCCAGCGGAAGTGGATCTGACGCGGGCGGTCAGCCCCCTCCTTGACCAATGGCTTGTGGAACTCCCGTCCCGCCCGAGAGTGGATGTTGGCCCAGCAGAACTCGCAGTAATACTGCAGGCAAGTGACATTGGCACAGAAGAAAGGAGCAAACTTCCCCCCGCAGCGCGCGCCCTGGCATTCGTCGCACATCTGGTCATCCAACACGTATGGCTTTACCTCCACCTGTCGGAGCGGAACAGAAAACAGGGCTACTTCATACCTGGTCCTACCTAACAGTTACACGAGGCCATTCAGGTCCTTCTGGTTTAAAACGTAAAAAGCCCAGAATCAGACATATTAACGCCTTTATCTAACTACACAGTTATTACTCTATCATTCAGCAGCTACAGGTATATCCGTACAGTAAGCACAACACTTACAGAATCACAGAATGGTTCAAGGAAGATCTCTAGATCTAGATCTTCTAGATCTTCTAGATCTCTAGACAGAATCGCAGAATGATATGGGGTTGGAAGGGACCTCTGGAGATCATCTAGTCCAACCCTCCTGCCAAAGCAGGTCCACCCAGAGCAGGTTGCACAGGAACGTGTCCAGGTGGGTTTGGATTCTCTCCAGAGACGGAGACTCCACCACCTCTCTGGGCAGCCTGTTCCAGGGCTCTGCCACCCTCAAAGTAAAGTTCCTCCTCATGTTTAGATGCAGCTTCGGTTCAAGTCTGTGCCCATTTCCTCTTGTCCTGTCACTGGGCCCCACTGAAAAAAGACGGGCCCCATCCTCCTGATACCCGCCCTTTAAGTATTTATAGGTGTTGATCCGATTCCCCCTCAGTCTGCTCTTCTCCAGACTAAAAAGACCCAAGTCCCTCAGCCTCTCCTCATAAGACAGATGCACCAGCCCCCTAATCATCTTTGTAGCCCTCTGCTGTACCCCCTCCAGAGGTTCCCTGTCCTTGAACTGGGGAGCCCAGAACCTCCCGTTAATTTATTCTGGAAGGATGCTTTTGGCAAACGACAACACGGAAGTACCTGCAGAAAACAGACAAACAAGCCTAAAGTTCTCCCAACTCATCTCGTCAGCTCCTGAGTGTACCTCAAAATGACACCCAACTCTATCCTGTTTCGCACAAAATAATTGAACGTACGAGAATGTAACCATTTAAATACTAAACTTTTAAAAAAAGCAATTATAAACCTCGTCACTACTTTTGTGTGCAAACTGTAAGTACTTTCTGCAGGCTGGAATACAGATCTTTTAGTGCTCCTGTCCCCTGTAAATTCACTCCCTATTTCTAAAATACGGTGAAATTTGGAGTTACGGATTTTGGTGAGTTGTCCTTTTTGTAGCTTTGAGCTGTAGAGAAATTTGCATTCAATGTATTTCTGAAAATATTTTTAAATGACCATTTTGCAAGTCTACAGGCTGCTAAAACCACCTGTCCTACACAGCTTCTTTCTCCCAAACTCCTCCGGCTGCCGGAGTGGAAAAGTGGCAGGAGGCCAGTGGTAAATTTGCATTATGTCTTTGCGTAACCGAGCTGTTACAGACTGCCATCAGACAGGAAGAAGAACTTCATAATAAAACACAAACTGAGTTGACTCCACCATTAAGGAATGTATTGTTGTCTTCCACATCTTTCTCACTTTTAAAGATGGTATTTTCTTTCTGCCTTTGGTTGGCAAAAAGAATTATTCCAGTTCATACTAAAACTCGCTGCTGTAAGAGATTATTTTCTGAGATACTATCGCCTGAGAAGAATGCTTACATACAGACATTGACTTTATGTACTATACTTAGGCAAAATATGTTTGAAATAATATGAACTTTAAAACGCTGGTTTTTTCCAGTGTGTCTCCGGAGGAAAAAAACCTGCACATACAGCTACCCCAAAAAGTTTTAGAGCAGAACAGTCCTCATTTTCTTAGCTCCAGAAAGTAGAGGTCACACTTGACATGGTAAATGCATCTGTGTTTAAAATAGAGAATGCTTCTTCCAGTAATTACATTCAGTACAAGCTCTACTTCTTATTTTCCTCCAACAATCCGCCTTATCACAGAATCACAGAATGATGAAGGGTTGGAAGGGACCTCTGGAGATCAGCTAGTCCAGCCCCCCTGCCAAAGCAGGTCCACCCAGAGCAAGTTGCACAGGTGGGTTTTAAATGTCTCCAGAGACAGAGACTCCACCACCTCTCTGGGCAGCCTCTTCCAGTGCTCTGCCACCCTCAAAGTAAAGAAGTTCCTCCTCATATTTAGATAGAATTTCCTGTGTTCAAGTTTGTGCCCATTTCCTCTTGTCCTGTCACTGGGCACCACTGAAAAAAGACCGGCCCCATCCTCTTGACACCCACCCTTTAAGTATTTATAGGCATTGATCAGATCCCCCTTCAGTCTTCTCCTCTCCAGACTAAAAAGACCCAACTCCCTCAGCCTTTCCTTGTAGGAGAGATGCTCCAGGTCCCTCATCACAAGTTATCCTCAAACTTCCCAGTAACCAGCCACTGCCCGCAGTAACTGTGTGTGTGTAGATAAAAATTATGGAAAGGATGAAGCAGCAAATATTTTAAGCTCCGGCGCATTAATGTGCCGAGATCGGTATGAAGATGGTTTCAAATGTATCAGAGAAGCACTTTGGGGAATGGAAGCTTTCCATGAAGTGGATGCAGAACTGCCTGCATGCCAAAGTTAACAACATTTTAAGGAATTGTTTGGAGCTGAAACTCCAAAGGAGTTTCAAGGAAATGTTTGGAGCTGAGCTTTCATACATGATAAAACAGGATGAGAAGCACTTTACTGAAGAAAACCATCTGTTAGAGAAAGTAAACATATCTACACATCAAAAGAACTGGAGAGGAGCTGAGGAGTACTTAGGTGAGGAAGAAGTTAAGATGACAGACGATGTTTGTTAAGTGGTTGTGACACTAAAATTTCCAATTAAGGTAGGAAAAGGTACTGCAAAAAAAAAAAATGCTATAAAAACTTGGAACTAAAGTTCAGTAGGATAAACAGGTGAACTGCAAAATTTAGCACTGAAAAAAGACTTTCTCACAGACAAAACTGCTTATGAGAAGAATGTGAAAGGGCAGCAGACCTACAGAAACTGGATATAAACTGGTATAGAAAGGTTATGCTAAGGTAAAGGGGAGGAGAACAGCCTGCCTCTAAGATTTCAGAGTGAAATGTGTAATATTTTATTGGCCAGCAGACATACACATCTCAGGGGAAAGCAGTACCCAAGGTAGGTCTATCTTCTGCCTTTGCAGAAGCAGTAGTTTACAGATCCATATGAATTGCTTGTTTGTCTGTAAATCAGCAGTAATACTCATTTCACAATATTTTCAGAGCCTAAAAAGGCATTAGTTCACCAACTCCATGGAACAAAAAGCCCTATTTGTGAAAATAGCTTTTTTCATACTTTCAGAAACAGCTAAGAGTTAAGGCGTTCCCTAAAACAAGGCTCTTCTCTATTACTCCTCAGTAACACAAGTAACTGGATTGTAGGAATATAAACATGTAAATTATTAGGAAAGACCATATGATTTAATTAGAGAAGATGATTTAAAAATAAAGATTAAAACTTCTCTGAAATAAGTATGTTCATAAACCTTCCCCATCACAAGGTTTAAAGACAAATGTACTAAAATACTTAGTGAACACAAGAGAAACACTCCAGGAGTAGCACACAAGGATGCTAATAAAAACTCCCACAATTCCAGATTTAAGAAAATATGAATAAAAAAATAATTTTCAAGAATTAGAGATGCAACACTAAGGAAAGAATACAAATTTTAACAATCAAAAAAGACACTGGGAATTCAAGTATCTAAAGAGAAAGCCTAGAACTTCCTTCCCTCTGCCTCTCAATCTCTCTAGCCCAGGAACATCTAAAGATACTAATTATATGTGGGTTTTTTTCCTTTATTTCTTTTTTTATTAGTGATTGAAGAAATCATTTGACTACTGCTTTAAGTCTCACGGACACAACTCAAATGCTGAGCTTCTGAAATCTAGCATTTGGGGTAGATTTTGTGGGGTTTTCCCCCTGTCCCAGCTCCAAGAGGCCTGCAGCACATCCCTGCTGTTTTACTGGAGATTTACTGCCTTTCCCCCTTTAAATATTTCAGTGTTATATCACACATTAACAAGTTATATCCCTTTCTCTGCAAACAGCAAGCCCTGCCATTTCAGATGCTGCTCGGCAGCCAAAAAGAGCACTTAAAATCTCTGGCAATCTATCCTCACAAAAAATAAACCAACAAACCAACCTACTTGGAAGCGCAGCCCTTCAAAGGCAGGTTCATGCCTTCCTTTCTCATATGAGATGGCATCTCTGGTCTCCCATCTCCTCCCCTACTGCAAAGGACACTCCCATATGTAAAAGGAAGACCAAGATTTAAGTGTCCCCTCGTTTACAGCATTCCGGTCCACCACCTTTGAGGAAGAACTAGTTTGGATGGGACCCAATTGTCCACCTCTAATGTGACAGTTAGGTCACTTTACGGCCAAATCCACTAAAGATGGTTCCTGAATCACAGGAAGCTACACCTGATTCTGAAGCTAAAAGGCCCATTTAGCATTTCTTTAGAAGGAGTTCTGGATTCTGGTTCTTACTCCCATTTGTCCAAACACTCAAAAGCAAGATGGTCAGTATTTTTATTTCCCCCTCACACAGTCACAGTGTCGAGGACATTTTTCCTGTTAACTCATCCTCTGGAAAGGACCATTTTTGGGGATTTCAGCTCATCAGACAAGCAGTGTCAGAGAGACAGATGTAAAGCTGTATTACTCTGCCTATCTGCAAGGAGAGAAGCGCGTGCTACCTCCCACAGCAGACTTTTGTCAACTGCACTACTTTTGTTTTCCTGTGTCTGTGATCTGTAGAGGAGACTGGACCTTGAACTACTTTACTTATTCAACTGTTCTTCCTCTAAGACCTTTTTTTTTAAAAAAAAAAGAACATCTATTAATACCAGTGACTACCTCTGCAGCTCTTGACATCAAAACTAGTGACACTTAAAGCTGACATAATTTAGATGCCATTTTTCTTTGCTACTCTTCTAATTAGGAGTAATGAAGTTGACCAGTCTTCTTAAGAAAAGTTAATTCTGCTTTAGCTAGCAATAAGCATCTGTAGCAACCAGAAATGTATATTCGTAAATCCTCGGAAGACTCAAACAGAAAAGATATGACATTTTGTATTTTAGGTGTTGAGCTTGACTGATTTTCTGAAGTGCTGAGCACTGACAATGATGGCTGAAATTAAGGGCAGCTGCAAATACAGAGCTAATCTCAAACCAACGAATACTAGAGCTTCCTATGAACGACAGAGGAATTATCACAGTATTTGGTTTCATTAGAACAAGGGAGAGGAAAAGATTTTTCAAGCCCTTCGCCCATACACAACAAACCGAGGAACTCCAGAAGGGGAAGAACATATGGTCTAACATATGTCCCAAGAACAAACTGCTGCTTTGTGGAATGCGTGGTGTTCGGTCGGGGGCTCTCACAGTTTAACTCTTGGAACTAGTGGAGTTAGGAGAACACTAAGAGAATGTAGAATCCAGCATGAGAGACAATCAAACGCAATGTTACCACACCCTGAGAAGTTCTTTTATGGATCATCACTCTCATGGGTATTCATTTTTTTTATATTTCTGTGTAACTTACTCGTTTATCGATGTCGCCATGCTGAAGTTGAACAAACCGAGCACTGATGGCAGCAATGTAACTCTGCTGATTGGAAAAAGCAACACGTCCAGCACCTTTTGGGTATTTCAGCTCAGGGTCGGTGTCGATTCCTGCGTAACAAACTCCACCATAGAGACGGTCCATGATCATAGCCAATTCCACTGTTAAGAAACAAAATAATGTGAATTTAAACTCTTCTTACAGTACAAAACTTTATATAATATGCTTGTATTTAAAAGTACTAAAACAGCTAATTTTAGTAATTAATTTGGCAACAGCCAATGTAACAATAATAACAAGAAATATAAACCTACAGGAAATAAGCTATGACATACTCAGCAGACGGTTCTTTCACCCTGTGGGTACATACATCCAAGGAACAATGGATTTGTAAGTCCTTGATAACCTGGAACTGAAATTCCGGGGCAGTTTTCTTCAGGGGATTACAGCAAAAGACTTTTTGGGCAGGCATGGAATGTAAGCTGTATAAAATAGATCCACATGCCACAAATTCCTTGGTACATGTTCTCTGGTTGTCCTAATGCTCTGTGTCCTTCTTGAATTTAAAGATGCAGTCAGCATCTTTTCATCAGAGCTTGATTATCTCTACAGCGCTACACTTAACAATAGATTCACAGAAAGTTCATAGAAACAAAAATCTCAAATTTTACAAATCAAGTACTTCAGCAAGCCTCTAGTGGTGTTTTATACTTAACTCAGTTTTGCAATTCATTTAGGTGGAAAGTACTAACATATTAGGGTATAAAGGTGTCAGCATTTATTGCTGTTCAATAGTTGTTTGAAAAGTCTCCTAAAGTTTTACTGCTTTGTGAAGGTATGATGCTTATTTCACAATGCCATAAAAGGTTCATTTTCACATATACAGGGCTTCTGAAAGCTAAGCATAAGAATGCATCTATTAAATTTATCACAGGCATTCAGCAGAGTAATCTGGAGTATGTGGACCGAATTTAAAGAAAAAAGTTAATCTGCAGTTGGAACATACTGTGTTTACACTCATCTAAAGAGCTTGTGCTACAGTCAAAAGTACAGTCCTAAAAGCAAAATAACAAAAAAGCTTGAGCATTGCAGGTCCAAGATAGAAAAATTTAAGATTCTTTATACCCCAAATTTGCACTATCACTTCTTGGTTCTCCTACATCTTCCATCTGAAAGCTCATCTTTCTGTAAGAATAAAATTCATTACAAACTATGGAAGACTAATGAAGTCCAGGAGTCATTCTAACAGAAATGGGGATTTGAACCACAGTATATTATGCTTCTATTTCCAACATGCACTTCAACCTACTTACTAGAAGGCCACCACAAAATACTGTAAAAGGCTGCTGCAGTCAATCTCACAAATCAGACTGTCCAAGTTGTAGATCAGCAATTCCACAGCTAAAGAAACATTTAATTTCTCCTTCATGCACTCCAATGAGAGTCTAGAAAGAGTCCTAAAATCTCATACAGTGTTGTCCCATACAGACTGTGCTAGCTCTCTGAATTTCTTCCTTTTTTCTTCTATTCCTACTCCTTCAAGTACTCTATCATCTCCAGTTTTGCTTTGCCCATACTAGCAAGAGTAACTGCAACCCCATAGTAGTAGAAGAGTAGCTAATGCACAGTGACAAGCAAGTACAAATAGAGCTCCACACACCCACGGAGCACGGCAGAGAGGTTTTCATAGCATTATTTTAAAAACAAATTCTTTCATGACATAGTTTACATTACACTTTTGCTAATATGATAAAAATCTTTTCTACAGCCTTTTAGGCAGGTAATAGTTTCCAGGAAATCTCAATGATGAACAGTGACTTAAGGCCAAAACCAGATGAAAACAGTTACTAGAGAAAGGTAGGAATACATGAATATTGTATACCTATCATGACAGTCTTCTATTTTTATATGTATATATCTAGATCTATCCATACGTGACTATACAAAAGTATGCATGGTTCAAATTATTTCCAATAATCTCCTACTTTTAAAAATAGCCACAGATTATACCTACCAGCTCTTAGTGGTCTAGGGACTCCTCCAACAAAAATTGTTTTTCGAGGATCAAGCGGCTGGGAACCATCCATCACAAAGTCACTGTCACTTAGATTCCAGGGACGGATCTGAACCTATTAAATTGGGACAGAAAACAGTATGCCACTTTAAGTTTCACTACGTTGTGGATTTATGTTTATCAGCCTCTGTCAAACAGTCATAACCCCATTAGTGTAGCGCGTCTAGGTGCTCTGCTTTAATCCCATTAATTCAAAACACTATAATTTTAAAACCATCCAACTGTTCCAGATGTTGAGCTCTCCCAACGGTAGTTTGCTTTTGATTATTTTCATCATCATCCTTTCAAAGGCAGCTTCAGACAGACGGCAGCTATAGCCTGCAGGCCATCTACTGTTTACTTACTGGCTTGTCCTTGATAGTGGGACTGGAAACACATAGATAGAGCTTTCCATCTTCTTCAATGCAGGCATCAATCAGGGCCTGAACGGAACTCTCTTCTTGGAACAGGAGGAATGCGTAACCTGGAAAAAAACAAAACCAAACCAACTGATATTTTTCCTCTTATCTTTCTTAATCATCTTTGCCAGTGACTTTTCCATACAAATGTGTTTACTCCAAAAGTAAAAGAACATCAAACCAATTCCTTGCTATTAGTCATCTTCTTGAACTATGTTCTACCTTGCCATGATCAGCAGAAGTCCAGGCAAATACTTCTATCCTTAAAATAATTGTCAAAAGAGACGAATAACCAAATAAAAGCAAACATGTCTGCTCTATCATGTACTGGAAGCCTCGGCTGAGCATAATTCACTGGCAGCAACGGACATTATACAATGAAAATCCGACTTGGCACAAATGACTAATCTCTATTCTAGAGATTAGATCAAAGTACTTTGTTACATAAGTGACCCAGCAAACCTCCCAAACGCTACAAAAATAGGAATTAAAATGCTTATTTGATGCTACAGTAAAAACAGCCAGACAAGCAAAGAACCTCACACGTTAGAATACTTTAACAGTTACAGTACAATGCTATATACAAAATTTTTACTTTACAGGTGCCCAATAGTGCAATTGGGGTTGTTATTCTAAAACGAATTTTAAAAGGACTATAAATCCACATTTCTTTCTGAGATTACTACCAAGTGTGGAATTTTCACATGAAGTTAATGTTGTATTACTTGGATGGAAAAGTAAACGCTGAAGCAGCTGCTCTGGAGTGGGCTTGGCAAGAGGGAGCATGGCTGCTCCACCAAGCCTTTTGGAAGTGATACTGGTTTTCTGAGAGAAGCCAGTTAATCACTGGTAATGTCTTACTGCAAACTGACAGCTTAAGTCATAAGGCAAAGGTGGTAGGGTGCACCTTGAAAAGCATTAAAGAATCAATGTGTTAAGAAGAACGTAAGATTAGAGAAACAAACACACAACTGATTTTAGATATAAGGGAACAAAAGTATTTAACGAAAAAGCTGTAAGGACGAAACCAGCCTTTCTAATAACTTGTTAGTCATTTCTTACCCCTCATACCACGGACCTATCATACCTGCCTACAAGGGACACACCACAACATTTTATGTAGTCTATATTATTTATGTAAATATTATTTAGTTTCTTAACAAATACGCTGTAGGGAATCTTTGGGCTTTGGCTGAAGCACTTTCTTGTGAAGTCCATTTTTCATTGCTGAATGACGTATTTTAGTGACAATCTCTTTAGCTTGAGTTTAATTAATAATTATTTAGATTCAAAATATCTTTTAACGGGGATATCTTTCAGTATTTATCTTAGAATTGCAAAACTCACTGCTTGACTCAGGACATGTAGAGACTGGCACAGGCGAGTGAGACCAGACCCGTGTAACTGTCCCTACTTGTGTGGAACCCAGGCACACACATTCCAGCTTGAATGGAGAGCCCAGTGCAAGAATGACAGGAGTGCAAAGACTTGATTAATCAAGGGGAGGACTAAATGCACACGATAATGCCTAAGGGATCAGATGTACAAAGTAAGATTCACAGCCAGGAGCACGTAAAATAATTTGCCAGATGCTGATTTTCCATCAGTTCTTATCCTAAAGCAAATGAAGGGTACTGCCATGTAACTGCTGATACATAAATACAGCCATTATATTCAAATACAAGAACTTGTTGAGACAACAATTAGGAGTACTGTATCCTACCATACCTGAAATAAATGTAAACAAAGCAATACGAAAACTATACTTTAATACTGCTTTCTCAACATTATCTGAAAAATGTACACCATGTCTGGGTTGATCCCACTCAAATTTTAAAGCATCAGATAGGCTTGTGTCCTGAGCTTAGCTGTCCTAGCCCCCTTCTGAAGACACGGAGAAGGTTAGGGTATAGTCTTTACTAACAAATTGGACTAGAATGTAGTTTTGCTCCTCAGCTCTAGTCCTAGTGATTTACAAGGCATTTTAGTTTGCTCCCCAAGTCTAGTCTGGAGGAAAACAACCACTTCTCCTGGAGAAGAAAGCTGGCTAGAGATGATAATTTGCTCAGGTCTCCTATTTTACAGTCATGCAGAGACACAGTCAATCCCTTCCAAAGAATGCTGGACTCACAAAGTCTGCAAAGAAACCCCTCTCCGTCACTTGCCCTGGACCAGGGTGCATTTCCTGGCACAGATCAGTTACACCTTAGCCAGAGACTTCTCCAAAGAACACCAGCCACACAGGAAACCAGCCTATATTCATTAGCTAGAAAGTGCCTGCAAAGAGAAATCACACTTTTGTATTAGGTACTTCATTCAGATGTCATAAATTAGGGCTTTTCTTGTTACTACAGGTAGCACATGCCAACAACCATATGGCACAGACTTTATTCTTAACCCTTTCTGTTTTCTCAATATATGATTTTATAGGATTTTTCACCTCAACATCCGTAGTTTGTAAACTACTGTGGATGTTTAACATCTGCAAAGCTAATAGGCTGGTGGTAAGTTACATGTATAAGTATAATGAAAAGATCAACTAGCCTTTTGGAGTAGTAGTGATCTACAATAATACAGAATCACATGGGGTTGGAAGGAACCTCTGGAGATCATCTAGTCCAACCCTCCTGCCAGAGCAGGTCCACCCAGAGCAGGTTGCACAGGAACATGTCCAGGCAGGTTTTGAATGTCTCCAGAGATGGAGACTCCACCACCTCCCTGGGCAGCCTGTTCCAGGGCTCTGCCAACCTCAAAGGAAAGATGTTCCTCCTCATGTTTAGATGGAACTTCTTATATTCAAGTTTGTGCCTGTTACCTCTTTCCTGTCACTGGGCACCACTGAAAATGTCAAACTGAAACATGGTAGAGAGACAGGGTGAAGAGCAGGAGATGTCTTACTGTACCACAAAACAACTTAACTCCCTAGTTTCTTGTTTTTTTGGTGTACCACATGAGTCATTTAACAGCTTCACACCCAACAGCAGTGCAAGTCTGTTTACAATGGAAAAGCAAAGCTACTCTAATAGTTTCCTTTGAAGGAAGCTGCTTCATACCTTTAGGTCATATGTACACCAACAGTAGCAGGTCACGATCAGTTATTACTTGCCAAGAGACAAAGCTTGTGTGTTTTGTACAGATTTCACAAGGTGAAAACTAATAGATGGAACGCAACCTTATAAAAATTTCTTGTTCAGGTGCACCCCTACCAGAATATATGCCTCCTGTGGGAGATGAAATTTAGGTAACCCCTGTTAGTGTTCATCACTTGACTAAATTCCTCTGCATAGCACTGGAACTATTATTAATACCCTGTTTTCAAAGGGAACCAATGTGGGTGACTTTGATAATACCTATCCTCACAAAATTTACCTCAAAGAATAACCAAATCTTTCTGGAGACAATAATTTGCTTTAGAACTACATTCCCTGATACTAAAGATACTGCATTGGTTATAAGCATCCTTACTCTAAGTTGGCATCTTTCCTAACCAAAAAAGACCAAGAAATTAAGTAATTTTTTTTCTTTTTAATGTACTGGGTCAGCACTGGAAAAAGAAATCAGGCAAGTTTGAAGGGTCCTAGCTGTATTACCAAATTAAACCTTCATAGGAATTAAAATACCTAACAAACCAACTCTCCAGCTTATACACAAGAATCAATGCTTTTGTTTTTTTATATTACATAAAGAACTAATAAAAATCAAAGCATTCTAGACTAGATTCACATGGGTAACTAACACAAGGTGTAATTTCTTTATTTCATAGTAATATGGAAGTTTACCAAAAGGAAAAAGGATGTTTTTTCTGCCATGCACACTCTGTGTGGAAATCAGAGAGTAGGTTTAAGTTCCATCAAACCCCAGTTAACTCCTATTGCCAGTGGCTTAGAGGAGGAGTCAAGAAAATCAGCGTAAGGCAGTGTGGAACTGTCTGTACCAGTCAGTGCGGTTGTATTTTGTTTTGGGGGTTGGTTCTTTTGCTGTCCTGACAGACTCTCCCCAGAGGAGACTAAAGGGCCTCAGTGCAGTGCAATTCCTGTTCACACAATGCTGCACCTTAGCTTAAATCAGAAAAAAATCTGTGTAAACTGAAGGATAATACAGACAATGGATCCACATTTCAGGATGTGAATAATTCACGTTTGGTAAGGATACACATTTAATCTATTCATCTTCAAAGAGAATCTCATCACCACATTAATTAAATTTAATCTTTAAAACATAAATCTTTCACTTATTCAGTCTAGTCATTTTTTTTGATGGAGAATTAACTCCAAAACAGCCTTGCAGTGAAAAAATGCAGGCTGAAATAATGTAATACTGCTATTAGCTGAGGCACTTTTGGGCTGGGGGCAGCAGTTTACACTTCAAGACCAAAACACCTATTTTTTGCATTTCTGCAGTGACTGTGTTTAAGCTCCTACTGTAGTAGAAAGATCCGGTTAATGTAGTCAGCATCATCTGGACAGTTACTGAGCTGAGCAAGTGGGACACCTGGTCTGGTGGGAGGTGTCCTTGCCCATGGCAGGTGGGTTGGAACTCCATGATCTTTAAGGTCTCTTCCCACTCTAAACATTCACTGATTCTATGAAATTTAGGTGTCCACCACCATTTATCCTCTATAGTACTTTGCCTGACCTTCAGCTGGTGCTCCAGAACGATGTGGGGCTTCAATAGGTACCGTCTCACATTTGCCAGAACTGTGTAAATCTTTTAGACATCCTGGGTTTGGGTAAATAAATCAAGCTCAATGGGCTTATGTTACGGTGACCTGAACAGCCTTCTGTACTCCACTGACTGCATTGGCCAGATTCCCATTGATTAAAGGAAGCTTAGACACTAATCACACATGAAGACACCTACAGTTACTTGCCTGAATCCAGAGTTCAATCCTACCCAATGTCACCAAATAAGCTGGTAACAAGTTAAACAGAACTTGGATGGACCTGGAGTTCTGTTTCCTAAACTACAAACAGGACATTTTTCCACCTAATTGTTTCAGTCAGGTCTAAATTAGCAGTTAAGAACCTTGAATAAACAAAGCTACCGCACAACTGCTGTGATAGAAGGTAACAGAAACACCCAGACCATTAGAAAAGGCTGGGGATACTGCCCTGTTTAAATCAGATTATCCTCTGTTTGATACTGACTATAAATAGCACAGAGCAGGCAAACAACTGGGCATATTTTGAAAGGCCTTCTTTGGATTTGCAGATCCTCACAGCACCATTTCTTTGAGAGCTTCGTTATCCTAAGAAGGAGTCCTCACCTCAGCAAGTTGCTTTGGACATGTGTGTTGTTTCATAAATAAGTCCATTTGCCAACTACGTAGCAACAGGAGTTATGATAAACAGTGGCAAGTCAGAAAGGAAGGAATTCTCCATTACAGTTGGCAGATCACTTACACACTTTGTACTTTGATCTCAACAGAATCATTTTTTTTCTCCTTCAGCACAGAGTTTCCTTGTAAGATTAGCGTGAAGTTTTTAAAATTCCTGGTATTTTCAGGCCTAATTTTGTGGTGAACCAATACAAAATGGAGTTAGCTAAGAACAAGCAGTTGGTGTTTCTCAGGAGGCAGCCAGCCTTGATGGATCAGGACACTTTTTGTATTTCTTCAAGCAAGGAAATACTTATTACGAACTTGGCCTTCCCTCAGGACTTTCTGTAAGCAGAGAACCTGGAAGGAACCACAGCCTGGAAAACTGAACAAGAGTGAAAAACACCAAAAAAGCAGGCTGTATCTCTTCACCACAGAGAAGATAATTACGTAAATCAGTCCAGAACAGGATAAATTCCGAGCTGTGTTTGGAAAGTAATATTATGTCAAATCTCAAAAGAGACTGAAAAAACACAAATAGATACACTGAATTGAATTCATACAGAGTAAAAAATTAGAAATTGGAAGGTAAAAGTAAAAAAACCCACCACACCAAAAACAACTCCTTGGGCTAATATAGTATATATTTCTAAATTGCTAATTACTGATGAATCTCAAATCTTTCTTAGTATTTAGCGTATCTTTAGCAGTTTCAGACATCTAATTAAACATATGTATATACACTTCTTGCCTGCCCACCCAAGTAATATTTAAGACAGACAAATTTTTAAGAAATTATTCCACAAAATAATCACAGGCCATATCTATTGCAGCAAAAAACCAGATATATACACAGTAATATTCAGCAGTTAATAGTAAGATGTATTTCCAGAGTATCTACATACAGAAACCTACGCTGTATTTTAAATGTGTGAGGCTACATTACAAGACAACATTGAATAATGCAGTAAACTGAAAATTAGAATCAAGTTTTAAGACTGAAGAACAGTAAGTGCTAGTAAATTCCAAATAAGGACCATGGAAAAATCAACTTAACACTTAGTTCGCAAGTGTTTCCTGAAATAATTACATCAGGCTGAAGTTCTTCTATCTGGTGTTTTCTGCTTTTAAGAAGCTCTGCTTACAATACTGGTTTTTCATATTTTTTGTTTGTTTTACTGTGGTAATTATAAATATTCCAACTATTTCAAAAGGCTTTCTTAAATGAGGAAGTATGGAAATTTATTCTGAAGATGTTCAGATGCTGAGACAGGACTATCTCATTGGAAATGAATGCCAGAATCGATTCCTTTCAGGTAAGAATATATTACATCTTCCGTCTTCTATATATTCATCACAGACTCTTGAGATGCATCTTCCTCAAAGAGCTCCTCAAGAATTTCTCTTGGCAATTTACGAAGAGAGATGCACTCCCTTGGATAATCAAATTTAACTTGACAGTAGTTTTGTGTATCAGGCTGACAGTCAAAAAGCTGAAGTCTCCTTGTTTGTCTTAGAATTTCCATGTAGTGTTCATAAATGCTATTCAAATACTTTCAATTCCTTTTCCCACTCTTTAGAGGACCATCTGGGATAATAATTCTGTCTTTTCCCCAGCATAAATGGTCAGATAAAAAAAATGAAGGATCGGTTTATATAGGCACTACACCTACTTTTGTCACTTCCAGGGAAGGAATGAATTGCTGCATTCTCTACAAAATGAATAACCTCTGCATTGCTTTTGTATCTGGATCAGATTTTTGCATTTATTTTATATGTACCAATATGTACCAATACATGATTGTACTTGTTCAGAGATGTGCAACATAATTTAATTATTTAAACGACAGAATGGCTTTTCCAACACTTTGTAAGTGATATTAAAACATCTAGTCTAACACCAGCACCAGAAATTTAAAAACCAGTAATTAATCATTTATCAAAAAAAGATAATTAGGGCTTCATCAGGAAGTTCACTTTTCCAACACTTTGTAAGTGATATTAAAAAAATCTAGAAATTTAAAAACCAGTATTTAATCATTTATCAAAAAAATATAATTAGGGCTTCAACAGGAAGTTCGCATGCTAAAACTGAAATAAACAGAACATTGATTATCTTGATAGGTGCCCAAACACTTCCTTCTGAATCCTGCCTGTAACTTCCTACAAAAATTTTTATCTATGATTTGGTCTTAAAAGTTTGATCAAATTTCAGTTTTGGAAACCAGACAGAAATGCAAATACAGAATTTATGATTAATGACACCTCCAATTACGTAACAGTGATCTGATACAAGGGAAATCAGACTATGGGAGATCCCTCAAGAGTCCAGCACCGAACCAAGCATGATACTAAAACAACACTCCGCACTCTTAGACATGGTGTGTAAAGCACGTCTGAACCTGCATTGAAACTGCAGAATTAACTGTTTACAGGAATTGTAAATTATACCCTTTGAAAAAAGATAAGACTATTTCCCGGAGTGATTAACTGTTTACAGGAATTGTAAATTATACAATATAAGACTATTTCCCGGAGTAAGATTTGTACTCAGAGGTAAGTCAAACCTTCCAACTCTCTTACCTTTTGGTGGAAAATATGACTTGCTTTCTGCTTTGTGAGGCCAGTCTACTACCAAAGGTCCAAATCGTCTGAAGCTAGCAGTAATTTCATCTAAAAACAGGTATAATAATTGCAATTAAAATAAATGACATAACAGAATGAAGAAGTACTATCACAGATCTTTGTTTCTAGCAAAGATTGACATTTCATGGTAAAAAAAACCCCACAACTTCCAACTCTCATGAAAAAAACACTTCAAATAGACATATCTTCCAAATTGTTAATATTTCTGGTGATTTTAGGCTTACATTTGTTTTTTGGTTGCTTAATAACAGCAGCATTTCAGAAGCATATGGGCGACTAAAGGCAGTGGTGAAAATCAGTGCGAGACTTCCTTAAATTGCACAACTTTGTGATGTCTTTCTGTCCCGGCCACTCCTTCCTGTCACTGGCTGTGAGAACCCTGGCCACGAGGAAAAAGCTAAACAACCCTAAACTCTACAAGAGCAATAACTCATCAGACACAAATATGCTCCATTTCTTTCAGCTGCACCCTGCCATCAGCATATAAACAAGCAGGAAAGAAAGAAAATATATCTCCACATGTGTTTGTTTAGCAGTTGTATTAAAAAGCTGCAGAGCACATTTGACTTAGAAGTTAAAGTGCATCAAAAAAGCTAAAATATATTAAAATAAATCCCTAAGCACATTGCAGGAGAGCATCACAATGAAGATGAAACCAAAATATGGTCTCTCCATGTCTGAAAGTTAATTACCCATAGTCAGCTTGTTTGGTTTGCAAGTTACGCAAGGATTACAATGAACCTTGTAAAGGGACTTCTGTTTGCATTACAAAGCTAGGATGTAATTTACATTTATCTGCACAGGAGAAACCTAATATTAAACAGCACGATTATTTCAGATCGGCACTATTGTACAAAGCAATTCCAACTGCATCATCACGTAACAGTCTGAGATTCTCTGGTACATTCTATTTCAATGCATCACAAAGTGCTCTGCCACTTGACCTTCCTCTGCCTTAGTTCCTCTATTTATGAACAGGAATAATATTAACCTTTCTAAACCACTTCTGAGATCTTCAGGTAATAGTAAAATCGAATTTGAAATTCAATTACTAATAGAAGTTTTCTATGAATAGAGAATAAAGCAGGCACAGATAGAGGACACTATGAAGAAGTAGGATGTATTTGAAAGGAACATGCAAGGTAAGCAGGAGCACAAATTCTAGGCATCAAATGCAACTCTACAATCTGCAAGTGCAGAATCACAGACAACTGAACCATCTCAAAACCAAAAGAAATGGATGACATCAAGTGATATTAAGCTCAATCATCCAACCTTGATGGATATATCCATCAACTCTCAAAGAAACCCATAGTTGTAGCCTTTTGCACAACAACATTATTTTGTGGGGTGGATTACTTCTACTACTTCACTTAAGTTCTTCAAAATGTCTCTTTATTTCTCCCTCCAAACACAGTTCACTTAGTTTTCAGGCAGCTCACCTTCATCAATATCTGGTGGAAGACCTCCAACAAACACTTTCCGAGAAAAACGCTCAATTCGTTCTCCGTTCTGATGAGCTGAATAGCAGGTAGGTGAATTCAAGACTCCAACTTGATCACTATGACCATCATCCAGCAAACCATCATCTATTGGGAAGAGGGAAGAACGGCCTTAAAAAGAAAAGATAATAATATACATTAAAATAGTAATTTTGTGGCAGTACAGGGTGATGTAATTTTAGGGAATGGAGGAATAGCAGTCTGGATATTAGAAAAGTACACATTAGTTTAAAGAAAAATTAAGACAATTAAAAATGTATTAAACTTCAAAAAGGAAATTCAAGGTCACAAGCTGACACCACTGTAAGCATACTATTTCATACTACATTATATTGTAGTTACTCTGCTGCATCCAGTAGGAGAGTAGTAATTTGCTTTTAAATAGAGGGTCTTATTTTTGAAGAGATCATATTAAGGGCTGCTGAAGTGAGGTTCATTAGTCTGCCTTTGGTTTAGCTTCAAGTTAAATTGGTAACTTCCATCACCTTCATGTCTAAAAATCTTACAATTTAATTGAACAGAGGGAAACAGAAAAAACATGTACACAGTAAGAAGTTTAAAATAGGTATGTTTTCTCTTTTAAAGGCATCTGATGCTGATAATGTAAGAACAGATTTAATTTCTAAGGAAGCAAAAGAGAATTTTAATAAATGTGCAGAATGTAACACTTGAGAAGTGAGTCACGGTGCTTATCTATCCATCTCACTTTCAAATTTACCACAGTTTTGGAGGAAAGCCTTGTGGTGGTTCCTAACATATAGCAAACTGCAGTAAGATTATAGTTACCCTGAAAAGCAAGTGCAAAATCCAAGAAGTTCACAGGATGCCTTTGCAAATGCAAACTGATCAAAACAGATGTATGGATTCCAGGGAGGAGTGAAAACATGGTAGTTCTGTCCTGCTTATTTCCCCTCCATTCCATAATTACAAATTTTAGAGAACTTAAAACCGAAAAGATTCGGAAGGTCAGGATATACACCTTAGCTTATTCAAACTTTCACTGCTTTAGATTAGCAACTGAAAGATTAATGAGAGTTGCAAATTCAGAAGTCAGTCTTCTAACTGAAAAAAGCCCAAAAAGACACACTTCTGTGAAGCAAAATAAATCCCCACACATCACCATTTCTCCTGAAGTGCAATTTTCCCTGTTTCTCTCTCACTTATTTTTGAAGTAATAATTAATGACCTCAACTGCTTTCCAAAAACAAGCAAGCAAGCAAAGCCAAAAAACAACCAAGCACGCTTTTGGGAAGCAAGTTAATCTTCTATCTTCTCAAATAGCCAATATCTTTCCAGATTCACCCACTGCAAACCCACAGGCAGTCGCAGCAGGTCCCTGAGAGCTGAGACTGCAGTACTTCAGCCGTGAGCCAAACCCCAGCCTGTCACTTTTATCTCCTCTCAGGGGAAAACTAGAAGAAGGAAAGCCCCATAGAACACCTGCAGACATTGTGCTGATCAGCTAGGGGCAAGGGCAGGGTGAAAGCCATTCACCTCCAGAAGACCACTTGAGAACTAAGTGCTTAAGGACAAGGCTGGAAAAGGGACAGCAAACATCCTGGCCAATGGTCTACGTTATGGTCATGCCCAATGACCTTAGTTGGGTAACTTAAATCCTTAATAAAAATATAGTGCATCAAAAGACACAAAGATGATAGAAAACCACCAAACATCATCAAATGTCACGAGGATCACAAAATAAAAGCAGGACCACAGGATCGTGCAAAGTAACAAAGGCTGCAACTACGTCTTTGTGGTGGCATTTCGTATTTATGTCCTTAAGTAGCACCCGATGGAGAGGAGCCCAGTAAATGCAGAAAGCTGCAGCGAGGTCCTTCCTTCCTTTAGGAATGGTGGTAACGTGTGTTTGAGACTACGGGGAGCAAGAGATGGCATCCTTGCTTGCTATGGTAACATCAGTGGAGTGGCTCTAAAAGCAGAGGCATCTGGCTGGTGCTCAACGGGGCAGAGCAGTGAGGAAGCAAGGGAGAAACAGAAAGTTAACACAGCTGGAAGAAGGAGCCAGGCAGATTCTCCTTGTAAATCATCTATCCAGACGTAAGAGGAGCAAGATCATGCTGTGAAGACTGTGGCCACTGAGTAATGTGCCGATGAGTTTCAGTGATGAAGACTAATGAGGATGATCGGATCGTAAACGGGTACATGAAAAAGAGGTGACGTTTGGTTACACAATCAAGACGTAACAGTGAATTTCTGAACTACTGATGTGGATGGTGGAGAATACGGAGCTGTTATCATAGTGACAACGCAAGGAAAAAGTGGCTAAAAGAAGAAATCAGACTCAAATTGCAGGAACTCGCAGCAAACTGCAAAAGTGTAATTTTCACTAATATACAAGAGTTATTCTTAGTATCTTAACATCTTAAATCTAAAATGACTGTAATTTTGCTGGGTTCTCTTTATAAAAAGCATATAGATTTGTTCTTTATCTCCGCAAGCCTCTATACTGCAGGAAAAAAGAAACTATTTAATAAATTTGTTGGCATTAGAATATTGCCACAAACATACTGAAGTATGTGCAGGGGGTTAGGTTTTTGTTCTGATTTTTAAAAAACAACACACAATTTATACTTAAGGAAGGTGTCTCTTTGGAGCACAAAAATTATGTTTTTGAGTTTCTCAGAAAGTTATTCTTAGACAACTCCAACTTAAAATACACACAAGTATATAGGCAGAAAAATAATCAAAGCTAATCCTCAGAATGACTTATTTTTAACTCACAGACCAATGTTAAAACCTAAGAACAATGAGAATCTAAGGCGCTCTTGCCAGGACAAATTAAACCATCGGAAGTGATACTGGAGCCATCAGTTTTACTGTAATGTGGGAAAAGCTTTGCCAAAAGCACTGCAGCTCCTCAGAGAGCTAAGGTGACACAGAGGACAACAGATTAGAGCAACACGCTCTACGTGATTACTAATACTTCTCCCTCCACTTTCAAATGTCTCTCAGGGGAAGGCAGCAAAAAGGTAGATTGCTCAGCTTTCACATTTCTCCCAATGACTGTGAAATAAAAGGATAAGCCCTTTTAAATACTTGTTAGTTTTTGTTTTATGACAGTGAAAAGAATTAAGCAGAACAGTCAAAATACCATTGTACTGTTACATACACTGCCCGTGATCTAGATCATCATTCCACTCTCCATTAGGTCCACCAAGCAACCAGGTAAGAACCAAGGCAGAGACCAAGAGAGAGACACATCAACTTATGTGTACACTGGGAACGCCAGAAGCTATCAAAGATCTTGATGTTTTTGCTGCACGCTTTATAACAACCCCAGGTCACTTCCTCATATAGTTAAATCAGTGTCACTTTTCCAAGGTGAGTGAGCATATGTTAGGTTATACGACAAAAATCTGTTTACTGTTTCTAAGAATTGTCACAAGATTCCTTGCGAAGTTTATGAAAGACTTAGTTTTCACTGTCACTTCTACAGAAGCACAAGAAGATGAGTTGGAACAACTAGCAAATAGTGTATTTCAGGGGACAACTGCAAGCAGTAGCCAATAGCAAGACTCAAATTATAGTTAGAACTACAGTGTGTTAACTGATTAAAGGATTGGCAATTTAAACTCTAAAATGAAAGAGATCAATGATCGTAACAATCCAGACCGCACCCCTCCGTCCCTCACACCCTCTGTCTTCCCCAATCTAAGACAACATGCAGATAAGCGTTTATAATCAACAATCTGGATTAATTAATCGTAATGATCAGTAACAGCTCAATCAGAATTAATTGTATTGTAACAAACAGAAGTGAATTACCTCGTCTTCGCCCATAACTCCTCGCTGCATGCAAACAAAGGACAAATTGTAAAATGTCAAAGAACTGTATCATGCCCACATATTAAAATATTTAAAATACAAAGAACTATGTGGGTAAGCGATAAGTAAAAATCTGCACTGGTACTTGCTACTGATAATTGTAGATGAGAATACATTAAACTCAAGTGTCACTTCAATACTGTACTATTTTACTACTAAATTGACGTTAGGACCAACCCTAAAGAAAATACTTTAAAATATTTCAACATGTCTTTATCTTAACTTCATGTTAATTATGGATGGATCAATGATGGTAACTTTGTAATTCATCCTCACAAAGTGTGATTTGTATCTCACACAAGTGTCTTAATAACACACCGGGTTCTGAAATTGTAAAAAGGAAAATATTACTTTAAACAAGCATGTAGCAAGCATTAATCACAGAAACATCCTGGTCCATGGAACAGTTTGTACAGTCCTTTGCAGTGACAATACAAATGCTATAAGCCGTGACCTTCCTTTTTCATGAAAAGACCTAGCAGAAAATTAACCGCAAGGTTTTGTTTGAAACAAAAGTCTCCTTGTGGTAGCAAACAAAATCAGGGCACAAGTCACAAGAAACAGCATTGTATCAAAAAACACTGCACAAAGGCAAAGCAACAATTTCTGACAGACTGCAAGTAAATCCAAGATTTTTCTAACTTCTGAGTTTTGCAAGATTCTTAAAGAGATCATGCTTATAGCTACAGTTCAGAAGACCATACTGATCGCTTCTCTGCCTGAAGGCTAGGAAACTAAAAATAGAGAGATTACTAACACAAAAACTATTAAGCTGCCTGTAATTTCTCAGTTACGTTTCCACAAAGTACTTTCAATTCCTGTTTCACAGACTTTGTATCTGAGAAAGATTACTTTAATCATTGCAGCATTGTAGTTAAATATCCAAATAGAAAACATCACTATAAACCGTAATGCTATAGCAACATTTATGAACAAAGATCACTGTGTCTCAGCATTACTGTTTTGATTTTACCAGGACTCCATGCATACATCTCTCCCAAAAAGCAGCTGTGGTTCTGGGACACTAAAATACATGCAGCCTCATAAACTCTGTGATTTGTAAACGTCATTCTCATATTATTAAATACTTATATCCCAGTACCTCCCAAATGCACAGGGTTTAAAAAATTTTTTTACAAGTATAGTATTTTCTTCTTTGCTATCTTGATTCTTTCCTACTAGGAATTCAGTGAATTGTTTAGGGAATTTTGAAAAAATGTCTCCTTGTTTTTTCTTCCTTAAACTCTTGATTTGTTACACAACAGTCATCATATTTCCATCCAACTTGCACTGAACTCACTTTCAGACTTACTTGCTTTTGTCTGATAGGATTACTATTGATGAGAATTGTCTTTTGCCCAAGTTTTTCAGGTCCTCCAGCTTTCTACTAGTGAGCCAAAACTTTTAGAAAAGCCTACTTTCCCAAAGAGACTCGGTTATCTAACCAAGTAGAAACACCTAAATTCAAATCTATCAAAAAACCCCATTATTTCAATCTGTCTATTAAATTTAAACCTATCAAAATAGAATCCACAAAACAGAATGTATTCTTCTATCACGGAATTGTCTAGGTTGGGAGGGACCTTTAAGATCATCCAGCCCAACCACCAACCAAACTCTGATAAAAACCATCACTAAACCATGTCTCTATGTGATTAGTTCTCTCATTAGCTGCTGCTGCTGCGTGGGGAGACTTCATGCCAAATTTCAGACTCGTTTCCCTCTGAAGTCAGGCCCTTAAAGACAGGCAGTTGTACGTCAGTGTTGCAGCTCGTAGGGATTGTTTCTGACTCTTGGCCAAAGTGCCTCCCACGCAGCATTAGCAGCAGCGTCACTAAGACCTCGCCTAACCCCCCCCATATGCCTTTTTTTTTTTTCTCTTTTTCTTCCACAAATAAAACTAGAGTAAGCAGGGAAAATTCAAGTGCATCACATCCATAGCAGTGACCGCAGTTCCATACCCTTTCTCAAAGAACAATATACAAATGCATATTATAAGCATCTTTTGGGACAAGCCTTAGTAATTTTTCCCCTCTACTGCCACTTCTGCTCCTTTCTGCCCACCAAACAATCTCAGCTAATTTCTTATATTTTCATAGTTAGGACAAGCTGATACACATAAAAATATTTCATTACAGAACACCTGAACCGTTTTTCTTTGTGCATTTAATAATCAACAACAGTGATTTTAAGAAGAAACACAAAAGGCTTATTAAAATACTAAAAAAACCCCAATGCAATTCAACTTAAAAGGGTAGGTCCTGCAGTATTTTATACATAGATGGAAATTACAATGATGTAGGAAAGTTATCTATGTATTCTTTGCTTCGGCAAAACAAATCAGAGAAAATGAGAAAATATCTGTACTTCTTGTTGCCACATTATTTACTTTACTTGTGTGGCAAATCTCCTTCTCTGATATTTATTTGTCCTGCCCATTTAGATTGCAAACTAGTTTGGGCAGGGATTTTCTGCCATTTTATGTCTACAAAACTTTGATCCTGTTCCTAAGAATCTGTAGGCACTGCTGCAATAAATGTGATCATTAACAATCAAAATGTATGTTTTTGCAAAACTTGTTATTTTTTCCTATTTTCATCCAGATTTTAAGACCACAGTGGTTATAGGTAAGTTGTTTCAATCACAGTAAATACAAAGTTTTACTGTTACTAAAAATATGACGTTAAAGCAAACATATCCTATCTTCATGAAACTTCAGTGTTTTAATCTCTCCACACCACAAATATATATATATATATATAAACTTCCTTTCTAAGGCCAGGTATTACTTGTGAAAACAGTTCCACTGAATCAAACTTTTAGTACATTGTAAGCAATGAGATTATTCTTTCTGAAGATATTAGATTAAATCAGAAATATTTCTGTGTTTATTAAAATAACATACACATGTTTTACACCTTTCAGAGCACATATGCATGTGCTGAGCATGTGGTCTGTATAAATATACACATTTAATTATAGATTTATCTATACATATAGTGTGTGTATATATATATACACACATACACATACATATATATATATAAAAAAAAAAGAGAAGGGTACATGGAGACCTTACTGTGGCCTTTCAGTACTGAAAGGGGGCCTACAGGAAAGATGGGGACAGACTTTTTAGCACCGCCTGTTGCAATACGACAAGAGGTAATGGTTTTAAGCTGAAAGAGGGTAGATTCCGACTAGATATACACTGAGGGTGGTGAAACACTGGGACAGGTTTCCTGGAGAGGTGGTAGATGCCCCATCCCAGGAAACGTTCAAGGTCAGGTTGGAGGAGGCTCTGAGCAACCTGATCTAGTTGAAGACGTCTCCGCGCAGTTGGACTAAGTGACCTTTAGAGGTCCCTTCCAACCCAAACTGTCCTATGATTCTACGTATTTAACATACGTACCTACATAATTAGTGCGTAAGTTTAGATAAATAATTGCAGGGAAGGCAGCCCTCTAGAAGAGGTCAGACACTGCAGGCAAATAATTGATTTGCAACAACAACAAAAAGGAGAGATTAAACTTCCTTCCTTCCTGGACTTGTTCAAAGAATAAGCCATAGAGAATTATTTTTTTAATCTTTTAGTCTATAAAGCTGGATATCTTAATTAGCCAGAACTTCTGAAAGATTTCAAATGAGTGAGAAAATAGAAGAGATACACTTTTATTCTAGAAAATAAATTGGGCAACACATGCAAAAAGTATAATGATGCCCAATAAAACTGACAAATAAAGTCCAGTAATGCTGGAACCTTCAAACATTAAGAGTTCTGTATATACAACAAAGACATTCCCTTATAATTCTTATCTTCTATTTCTATATGCCTGAAGTTGCAAACTAATAAGGCTTAAATCTGTAAAAAAAATTAATACGCCCCTTTCTGCAACTTAAATCAGCTCAGAGATAGAAATATGAGACAGAAGTAAACACACTTTTTGTCCATGTTTATCTAACACCAAGACAATAGGAATATAACTTTAAATGTTATTTGAGCAATGCTATCACACAAATAGGAAATGCATCATTTCTATTTTATTCAGACACGTATTTCAGATATATACCAGAGATCAAATATGTACATATTTAAATAGCTCAACTGAACCACTGAGCTGAATTGCAAATACTATGTTGTGTAACAGGAAAAACTATGAGGCAAAGCTTCCTCTATTTAAAGATAACTGTGAAATTGATGATAGAAAGTAAGGTAAAATACTATTTGTCACTAACATTCCTGATTTAATGATCCAGTGGTGACAGTGAAGTAATGAAGCCTTTTTCATTAATACTTATTTGTCTTTCAAGGAAATCCATAAACAATTATGGCAAAATTTTCCCAAGAGTCTAGACTAAAGGAGGCAGGTGCCTAATTCCCATTTTATTCGATTGGATTTGAGTGCCTAAATTCTGTTAAGATTTCTTTAGAAATCACATCTTTAGAGATTTTAAAGCTGAAAGAGATCGTTATGACCATTCAAGTTTGGCAAGCCTAACAGGCTAAAGAAATCCATTTAGCAATTCCTGTATAGGAAGTTTAACAACTTCTGTTTGAAGTAAACCACTTTTTTTTAGAACACAACCAGCTATAGTATCTCTAGGATGGAAAGTCTAGTGCTGCCTTGCTAAACTAATCAAATGGTGAATTATGTTTCAGTAGCCATTAAATAAATTCAATGCATTAAAACTCTGAAAAGGGGTTCATGCTATAAAAGAGAAAAAACACCCTACACCCCAACATACTGAATTATTGCTTGCTACAGAAAGGTTCTAAGTTGACAATTAAAGATGTACTCAGGTAAACCCATTCCAAAGTATCTTTTTCTTGACTTTTGAGAGATAACAGTCATTAAAAATGCATTGCTTTTTTTTTTTTTTTTACAGCTTGAGCTGAAACAAGAGATATAATTATCAGATATATAATTTATTAAAACACATAAATCAGCTTTCCTTTGGTTCACTTCATTAATTTAAATAATGAAAACTGTAAATATTAATATTAGGTACAGTTCAGTAAGTACACTTTAAATGAGCTGGAAGAGATCTATCATTCAAGAAGCAGAAAAACTAGCTAAAATAAGTTTTATCTAAAAGGGCTTCGTCTTAAAAGGGTTGAGGAATTCCAGCTTGGGTTGGCTCTGAAGGGTACAGGGGACCACGCTGAGCTGCACTGATGGGTACATCAGACCCTCCAGGGACATGGCATGGAGCTTGGGTGTCTAAACATGCCATGTCAACTAAATCCCAAAGGGCACACCTGAAAATTAGGTGTTGCAGCACCTGTCTCTTAAATACTCAAATTGTTATTTTTATGTCACCTATTGAAGGTTGGAAATAATATGGCAGCTTTTACAGAGAACAGCAGTCCCGTTAAATGCTAAACTTCCAAATACAGTGTAAACCCCGCCAGCATTAATAACAAAACAAGGTATTCTACAGTGCATATTCTAGCTCTGCAGTAAGATTTTCAGGATAGAGTAGTGCCACTGAGATGCATTTTTCCAATATCCGTGATAACAGCAAAAACCTTTTTTCCTAGATATTCCATGGAGTAACAATGCTTCCCATGTGCTCGTCACACAAAACTATAAAAAGAGAAGCTCACCATTCTAAGCACTAAAACAAACCAATTAAAAAAATATTAACTTCTTAGACTGACCACATTGAAATATTTCACAGTTGCTCATAAGATTTCTTAATTGTTAATGCCTTCCCATCTAAACTTCATTATAAATCAGCAGATAATGACAACTGCACATACACCACCTCAACGAAGCAGCTTGCAGAATAGCTCTTACAGTTGCAGTTAATACATATTGTTAACTGTTGTACGTGTTGTAACATCAAAGCACATCGTTATTCAATGTAATTTCTGACCAGGAATCAGGATTATGTGAGCTAAACCCTAATTTTATTTCAACAGTTAAGTAGCTATGTTCACTGTTCAAGATACTCCATTATTTTACAGAACTATTAAATACCAAAGGACCTAATTCTTCAAATGTCTGTTGTGCAATATTTGCCTTTACTGGGTATAAAGCTAAACCTGAATTTTCTTAAAATTTTAAGCATTTACTCAGTGTAACACAAGGGAAAGTAGATGTTTTTTTCAGTTTATATCCATTTGCACAAGTGTAAGTGACTGAGTAGAAGGGTAAGACAATTGGAAAAAAAAAAAAAAAAAAAAAGAGCTCCACAGAACCACAAACTTGAAATAACTATTTTGACTGCATTTTTTAATAATTATGTCTTTACTGGTAACGTTTAGATTCATCAAGTCAATGACAAAGTGTACTTGCTTTGTGTGCAGCAACTTTCACTTTTTCTAATCTAGAGAAGCTGTGGCATCATAGCTCTAATTTTTCCCAATGTAGAAAACATTTGTGTGCAAACCCCCTGATTTATTATTGACTTAGATGGATTACCAAGCTCTGCTTCCTTCTTTAGCCTTGAACAAAGGCTAAAGTTCATGCCTTCACTGAGTAGCAGATGTTCATGAAGTTTGACCTACTGGGAGAGGAACGTGAACATGAACTCTAACTTCAGCATATTTCGCAGTCAGAAACTTATTTGACAAAGCCAGTTCCAAAAAACCCAATAAAAAGAAAATGGTATTTCACGTAAGTATAAAAAAAAAAGGTATCCAGTTCACTCTTTATTTACACAAGATAAAAAACCATGCCTCTCTGGCCGCCTTATTTTTCTAATTCCTGTTTCTGTATAACAGATTTCTAGTGGATTTTCAGAGAACATCCCACTGGTTTGCTTGAGAACAAAAAAGAATAGTGCATCGTTACAAGCATTTCAGATTTCAAATAAGCTAGATATAATGAAAGCCTGTTGCAAGATTAGCTCTTGCCATTCAACTCTGAAAAATGGCAACAGTCCCATCAGTGTGGAAGACTAGAGGCAAGTAATTCAATAACAGAATATAATAGTATAATTTTATACCAACATGTCAGATTTAAGCTAAGCTAGAGATAATTAGAAACTGTTATAAGATTAGCACTTACCATTTAACATCAGAAGATTGTCAGTCCCTGGATGTGGGTAACTCAAGCGACCTTAAAATAAAACAAAAACCAAAGGACAAAAGAAAACAAATACAGAAGTTTTAGCTATTCTGCTGAGAAAAAAAAAAGAATAATGAAAAATCACTGATTAGAATTTAAATATAAACTATATTTCCAGTTTGCCTAAGGGAAATAAAGAGCTAATATTTAACTCCAAGCACATTAACCAACAATACCCTTGACCCAAGTTAAAGCTGACAAGAACAGACTTCTTAACCTTAATTCTCTGGTCATAAGATCTGCAATGTGCTTTGGGATCAGCTCCAATGGGATAAAGCCACTTTTTGTTTCATGACACCCAGAAATAGTGCTGACTGCTTTAGTCTTCTCTTTCATACTGACTGTGAATAACTGCACTATGCACATTGCTTAACAGAGCGGTATTTCTACAGTTTAGTGCTTCACTACTGAATCAATTTGAGATAAAAATCATGTTAATAGGAATTAAGGCATTAAAATTTTATTAACCAATTTATGACTGTATCTTGGTGTATTACATATAACCGTTGTATGTAACATTTTCAGTAAGTCTGGCAAAACTAGAGTACTGGTTTATCTACAGAATTAACAAAAATAAAGAACATGACAGGTAACATTTTTAACATTTTATATTGAATTAAAAATATATTAAAATCTCATATCCTGACATTAGAATTTTTCAAGTATTGCGTTTTACTACACTGGTCGTATTTTATACTTAATAGTTAGATGAATGGTTTAAAATGCACAGCTGAAGTGTCTGTTCACTACAAATTCCTTTTTATTAAAGGAGACGTTTTCTGTTTACAGGAAGCTGCAAACATACCAGTAGTGCACACTGACCTAGAGAGACATCTACAATAGCTGCTGTGTTCGGAAGAAGTGTGCTTTAATGTGAAAAAGCCCCTACATTTCCATCTATCTTGCTATTAAAACATACTTGCTTGCTTATACTCCATAAGCATATGTAAAAAAAAAAAAATAATACCCTAACTTAAACATTTAAATCTTTTGGAGGAAATCAGAATGTTTGTGGAGGCATAAAAAAGAATCCAGTCTGGAAAAAATGGGCATTTAGAACTCACATGGGTTTAAAGGGAAATAGATATGCAGATGTTAGTAAGTATTAGTAAGATGCTATCATACCCTAATAAGGATCACTCTCTCTAAAAAGAAACAAAAGGGAAAAAAACAAAAAATGTATCAGCAATTTATATATTAAGGTTGTCTAACAATTCCTATCATACACCAGCTTCCCTCCCTCACCACCTACTGTTGCTAAACCCATGTGATTAGAAGCAAGATTGGAAATTCCTTGAAACAGTAGTTCTGTGTCCCAAGGGACAACTTTGGGGTTAAATAACAAAAATTTTTGCTGGAAATCTGTAAGTAATAGGGTCTACGTTTTGCTCTTCCCCTTTAGGAAACCAATGTGATAGTTTTCCAAAACTACAGAAACCAAAAACTGTAGAAAAAAAAATATGTCGTAAACTCTTACACTCCAAATTTCAGAATAGGAAGATTAAGAACATCTGGGATATTTTATTCAGCCTTACTATTTACAGGAATTGTGGCAAAGAGATATATATATTTTTTTTTAATACAGACACACACTTTCCCACTGATTTCATTCTTATTAAGAATTGATGGTATCAGAACACCTGCAGATTGGGTAGGAACTATGTGCTTGGGAATTTGAAAGGCTGGAGAAAGCAGTGAAGGGCAATGGCAGTCTCCTGGAAAAGGGCAGCTGAAACCACCCGAAGGGACTCTGCTCTTTTCTCTAGTGTCTACAGAATTTTTGAGCAGACTTAGGCAAGATACTAAACAAAAATTTGCGGGAGCCTCCGTCTTCATGTTCCCTATCTCCAAGATGTCCAGTTTTAATATCCAAGCTATTTTTTCTGTCGTGAATATTTACAGCTATACCTAATGTTTCTTGGAACTATAAATATTCTGCCCTTCTAGCTGGTATAACAGGAAAAAAATTCGGAACAAGGCATCCTTAAATCGCAGTCTGGGAGCTGCCACTGGTTTGCTCAGCCTGGTGGATAACAAGTCACTTTCCTTTAGCTCCTAGTTCTTTGGTCTATAAAAGAATAAAACTCATTTACCTAACAGCAAGAATTTTACAAGATTACTTACTGTCACCATCATGTTTATATGTGGTGCTATAGACACACTTGCAAACAATATGAGCTGTTTCTTGCAAATGAGAATGCGGCGTTTATCTAAAATAATAATAGAAATTGTGAGAAATGATTCTCTCATCTTGAACCTCCTTGAGTCTGTGGTGACAGTCTTTCTCCTTGCCTGTATACATTTATATCCTTTTCCTATTCATCAAGGGAGACAAAAGATACATTTTTTCTGTAATTACTACAGAAAAAGAGGTCAGATTTAAGGCCCAGCAGGAGAGAGAAGCCCACCACTGTCAACACCTGGAGAGGAAAACCCCTTTGGATCACAGTAAATCCTGGATTTACAACTCTGGGTCTGCATTCTTTTGGGTTTGTTTTCCCCCTATAGCTTCGCAGATAAGCTGCATCTGAAACATAGGTGCCAAACTGAAAAAGTTAAAATAATAAAGCACTCCTCATTAAGCAGTGCGGAGAGAGTGTGCTAATGAGCTGGGCCCACCACTGCAGCGTAAAAACAATGAGTCACACAAATGCAGAGAAACCCAATCTCACCGCGTTACCCAGATGTATTTGCTAACTCATGAATGATTTGAGGGTTAAGAACAACCGCGTTACCCAGATGTATTTGCTAACTCAGATCATGAATGATTTGAGGGTTAAGAACGAAAAATGAGCAACGCAGTATTCAGTACATGTACAGCTCTAATGATACTTCCTTTAAGTCTTAATTACATGGTTATTTCAATGAAATCATACTTTGCATTACTGCATTTTGGGGAACTTAATACTTGTGTTTACTACCTTGTCTAGTACTTGGACTGACAACCTTAAAAACATTTTTAATATAGAGGGTTTGCTTATTTTTTCAAAATACAATCACTGCTATTTAATACGTTAACTTAGGTCCTTAACCCTCAGACCAAGCTGTTGAAGCAAAAGGCAGTGTTTCTAGGGTGTCCACCTGAATTTAATGATACACGTAAACTCAGAACACTTCATGTATGGAACTGGGTGCACGACCAGTCTTACCCTGAGCTCAGATTACAATATTTTTTTAACATATTTTTCTAGTTAAATGGACATACGCATTATTAAACCTCACTTAAAATATCACTATATAAAATACAGCAGATGGGAGTAATTGTGTGACATTTTGTTAATTGTAACATTTTATTATTTATTAAATTATGAGAATTTACTTTGCATTTATCACATATTTCTCTCTAGTCAGCTATTTTCACTGCATGTTGTTAAATGTGTTTTAAAAAGAAGTACCATTTGACGAACTGCCCTCACCACAAATCCTATCTAATCCCATCCTACTTCCATGTCAGTAAATCGTATAAACTGTTCAACAGATATTTTAGTGATTCCAATGGCATCCGCCTGCTTAAAAAAAGAAATTTTAATAATATATAGAGATGCTTTACTAGTTTAGAATCAACTACAAATTAGTTAGAGAATATCTAATATTTTTAAATAATTGACATATTTTATTCTTGAGAAATATCACTTCACTGACTGTGTAGTACAGCACTTCGCTCTACAGCATCCAAAATGAGTGATGTGCTGCTGTCTGGAACAAATAGAGTGCCTAATATTTTAGTATTTCAATATCATGAAGTATCACGTTATAGAAATTTTCTCTGTGCAAACCTGAACTTGCAACTTCATCACATTACTGCTAATTAATAACTCTCATGTATCATGGCTAAAGAGAAGCAGGTATGTTTGACGTTTCTCATGCAACTAGAGTTCTATTGAATTTAGCTCCCTCTTCCATATCTAAATGTGATTAATGTTACCAGAACTGCCTGGCATGTGCTTCTCACAACGTATTCTTCTGTAAGGACAGAAAAAATACAAAAAGCTTGCAAATAAATTTTGGTGGGCTAGTTTATCCACTAAATCCAGCTAAAAGTCTTGCTAATCCAAACCATGAGGAAAGAGTAACCAACTTAGTTTTAGTGACATTTCTATAATCTCATGTTTCTAATACGGGCAGTGGAAATTTAAATTTTTTGGTAAGCTGCGTCTGAGCACACAGATGCAGTTGTGCTTGCTCCCTTTTTGTTTGAAAGCAAATTCATATCCACTTTTGGAAACACATACTTTCTATTCCCATTTGAATAAACTGTTGGAGGAACCCCCACGTATTCAAACATTAGGGATAGATTTAAGTATAACCACCACTTCAAACAACATTGCTGACTCAGTTTCACAAGTTTGATATCTCATATCTACTCCCTCCCCCTTTGTTTTTAAAAAGTCTTAAATAGTTGAATCAAGAGATCTGACTAGAAGAAAAAAAAAAAGCTTCCAAGTGAAGCTTTTCCCAAACTACTCTAAGGGAGCAGTGAATGGCTGAGCGTGGTAGCAGTTCCAGAAAGTTGAGGTTTTGAATCAGCGTGGTGAAGACAACAGCACCAACCCCTGCGTGGATGACACCGAGTTCCAGATTTCTACGCTTTCAAACGCTTGTGTAAGGATTATGTAAGTCATAACGAGGCCAAACGTGTTGTCTCTGACAGTCGATTTAGTCTATTTTGGCAAATCAGTCTTAAATAGATTCTTTTATCATAAAAAGTTTCCGTGACAGAAAGAGGAAAGAATCTTTATGTACAATTTCAAAGCCTTTTCTATGACCAAGAGTGAAGTTTCTCCTCTTTGCTTTTTTTGTTCAGCCTCAGAAACTCTTTTCCCAGTGCAATTTGAATGGCTCTAGGAAGCAGTTGCATAATTCTACACCTTACAGTTCCTAACAAAAAAATAATACAAAACAAATTTCTTTGAAAACAAAAGTTACCATATGCAAAGCAAGGCAATGTTCTCTGCTGTGTTGCTGAGTCACCAGTGCTTTGCCTTTGACTTCACTGAGCATGCGTCAGCAGGTTTCTTTTAAAAGAAACACATCTACCAGCTGACAAGCTCGACTAAACCAATTTAAAGGGAAAACAAAAACAAGAAAAAGCAAGACAGACTTCTAAGGGCATCAAGTTACTTTTCCCCATAGATAACTCAAATAATAGTGTTTTACTTTTATTATTACTAGCTATACAAAAAACGTATTTGTGCAACCTTCCTACAAAATTTGTTTTGCCCCTCCCAAAGAAACAGGAGAAAAATTCAACATGAAGTTAATATTCCTGCTGATTTAAGTTCAGTGCTATCTCAGATCTGCCTTGCAGAGCTGTAAGAGAGTTGGTCAGGACACAGAAATGAATTGAAAATCGAGTACAGTATCGAGACTCTTGGCTTATAAAAGACAAGCACTTAAGTTACATGGGAAACACCACATCTTCAGTAGAAAGCTGTTTAAAACGGTAGATAATGAATTGCATTAAATGACCTGCTTCTCAATTCTAATACATATTCCATGTAAAATATAACCATTTCTTTTTTTTTTTCCATAAATTGTTTTGGCCCAAACATACTGGCTTTCCTATTTCTGAGATGTCTAGAATCCAGCTTTTCTATGTCTTGAAACCAAGAAGCATTGGTATTTAGGGCAGAAGGGAAAAAAAAAAATGCAAGTACACAAGAGGTATGTCTGGAAAAGAGTTATACTACCAATACCCATATATTTCAGGCTGCCAATATTGTAATTCTCCTCTCAAAATAGTTTTAAGAGCTATTAGAAGAATAAAAAGGGTATTTAAGAACAATGATGTAAAAACTAATTATTTAAACTTTTATTAACTGTAGTTTATATTCCATTGATTGGATGGGGTAATCTTAAACATTAGTTAATGTCTTATTACGAAATGCATTCAAGAAAGCTTCATGGGAAAGATTAGTTTTAATAGCAGCAGCATTTCTGCTGCAATGACTAGTGAAGTCGAACATCTATTCCCTATCAACCTACCTTGAAAAAAAAGTCTTACTGAAATCTAAAAATTAGTTCTTTCTTTTCATCACATCTGTAGTAATGACTAAATTTTGTCTAAGTGAAGTTGAAACTATGCATCCATAAACAATTTTTTTGGCAGGCATAAATTCAGCTTTCAGTTTGCAATGAAGTTTTTTCAAGTTCACGAAAGTGAAAGTGGCGAAATTTGTGTTTCTTCTAGAATGGATCTTGAAATGCAAAACTTAAAGCTGTGACCTAGTACACGCTGTGTCTGTTCTGCATTGTGCAAAGTCTGAGACGAGATGCTTAGTCATACTCCAGATATTGTAAGCAGCTAAATCTGAAACACGTGCTTAAAATTCCAGGGACCTTCATTTTACTGCTGTGGTCAGATATAAAAGATGCATTGTTTTAACGTGGTTAGATTTACATAAAAATATTCTCTAGTTACAAAATATTCTTTACTTCCAACAAAGTATGTTATATATTAATAACAACAACAAATAAATAACAGTAATATTCTTAATCCTTCACATTCTGCAAGCAAATATGATGGGTTCTTAAGTAAATGTCAGATTTTCTGTGGTGAACAGAAAAGCCACAGAGTCTGAAATAATAAAATTAGTGTTTCATGGTTTGCAGAAAAAAAAATAAAAAATTAAGTTGCTAGGAAATTACAGAAATGCCAACTAATGGTGACTACACAGAAAAGGGACAGGGAGCAACTAAAAGGCTATTTTAGGATGTGATCTCTTCTTCCCATTTTCAGCCAGTGAGGAACGTTTCTCATGTCTTACTGTTACTAATGTAGCTATTTCAGCTGAAATAATAACTTCCAAAGAGAAAAAAAATATCTTAACCAATTTAAATAACAGCACACAATTACTCTATTTAAATTCTGTTGGCGTGTGCATTGTTCTCTGGCACTCAAACAAAAAAAAATGGATTTCCTTTGAATTCATCACTATCTATGGCTTCCATCTGTTTTAGTTCAAACATAAAACTTCGCAGAATTTTCACTGCAAAAGTATGATGGTGAAACCGTTAAAAAAAATAATCTCTTAACTGTAGACTGAAACCATATACTCGTGTCCCTAGAAAGCACAGAATAACTACGGAAACTTTACTGAGTTTTTCAGAAGTGTCTCTGTACGAACCCAATTCACTTTAAAATCTTAAAGCTTTGTCTTGTCTTATTCTCGTTGAAAAATTATTATTGGAAATACATCGCTTTCATCTATTGCATCATAATGAAATATGAAGAGAGGAATAAAAAGAAAAATGTGTATTTTGTGTGCTCGCCGAGCCTCTGAGAACTCTTCTGTGTTATAAAGCCAAAATGAAAACAGCGAGATGGCAGGGGGAGCAAAGCAACCACTTCCATTTGTCATGTCAGTGCGCACAGAAAAAAAGGGAAGAAATCAATTGATTTTCAGGAACATGAGAGGTGCCACTGACAGTATATTGTGAGAGAAGATCTACATTCTCTAATTTTATGCCTAACAGTAGCTTTGCCTTTTAATATCCTTCTTGATGGTAGATTTGGGCTCAGATAACCAAAGAAAATGTTAGTCACCACCTGAGTGTGGCAAACTGAAGCAACAATGCTTTTAAACGGGGATGATCTAACCAGTTACCTTGGCTTTGATGACAGAGGTGTGCATTTAGTCCCCAGCAGTTACCACGGGGCTAACTGTTCACAGGTTTCAACCTCTTTGTGTTATTTGGCAACGTTTCGCACACATGCAGAATAGACAGAAACTGAATTTAATAATGGACTTAAATGACAAAGTCATTAAAACCGGAATTAATTCTCTGTAGGCAGTAAGAAACATGAGATCAGATTTAAGAACATCTAAGAAAATTTAATTTCAGCTTCCACTCTAAAGAGGAGGAAAATTTACTGGCTAACTTAATGCTGCCTACTTACTGTTGCTTTGTAGATTTTCAGCTTGAAAAAAAAACCACACACTTTTGGCTTTACATTGTAAAATACTATTACGTGCTATCTGAATAGTACAGGTCTTGCCAGTGATTACAGATCTTACGAGAACCACAAGCAGACTCCACCAAAGTGTCTTTCAAATTAGGAGAACGCATGGCCCTTATGTGCTATGTAATTCATATTATTACATATTAACTCTATCTATTTCCAATTGCTTCAACACTGAGACTTAATTCCTGCAAAGCAAGACTGAAGTCTTGGATGATTTTAAAGTTAGATTGTGTTAGTTATAACACAAATAATTATAACATCTCAAATGAAGTAAATGATCAGGCCAAATAAAAGTGCTTGGGCTCCCTGCCCCAAAGTTCAACAGTAAATGTCATCTGAGATTAAGTACAGAAAAACAGAATTCAAAAGAGTGAGTTAATGTACAGTGAGCAGAGGAGTTAAAATTGAGGCCCACAGATATGAGCTGTATTCTTACTGCTGTGGCCAAGTGATTTGAACAGAGCCCAGAAGGATAAGAGGAACCAGCATTCTAAAGCCGAGTTTATTTCAGACAAACAGAAACTGGACAATTAGATGCATTATTATCCTCCAGGAGCTTTGAAAAAATACCTGAAAGGACAAAACCTGAATTTATCAGTCGACTTAATTTTCTTTTCAGCTTCCACTGCAATGAAAGGGAAAAATAACCGGCTAACACTGGCAGTGGTTTAATTCCTCTCCCACCCTCTTTTGGCTACCTCTAGCAGAACAGTGCCTCTTCACAAACTGAGGTAGAATTTCCTACAGCAGACAAGCAAATTTCAAATAAAGCTAACTATGAATTTCTTGGGGGAAAGGAGGGAAAGGTGGAATGGAGAAGGAGAAGAACCTATGAAGACACTAAAGCTTAAATTTCAAACAATTGTAAATTAATGTTTTCAATAAAATACAGCTTGAGATTGACCTTTCACGTGAGTTGAGAAAATAATTCATTTGCTATTTTAATATGAACCTAGAATCTAAATCAGCAATCAGTTTTAATTCAAATATGCAGAACGGATGACCCTTTTTTCTTTATTTAGCATAATAACATACCTTTAAGTGGATCATGCTCTGCTCTCATAATGTCAATAAGGGAGTTTTCCAAAGAGTGCATATTCAGACTGTCATACATTCTATTTCGATCCTAAAAGAGAACAAAATCCTTAGTATTGGAATACAAATTCTGTACTTTTTAACAGGAATCTTGATAGGAAGACAAGGCTGTATGCTCAGACACTGTGGAGATGGACAACGATACAAAAGCTTAAGGCACCTTAATTTATTAACAGTAAGTTTAATATAGCATCCAAATATAAAACTCGACATGCCCTGTGAAAAACTCTTCCCTGCACACACTTCAATAGCCTGTGATCACCCGATTCCTTAGAGGATCTGCTTGAATCAGTGCTAGTGATCCACAGCAGAGTTTTCAGCATTAGGCTGTTTAATGAACGTCTGTGAGAGCTCAACTTAATTTCATGCAGGAGCTAAATAGTGAGTAAGGTGGAGAACAGTCACCTTATATGACAAAAAGCATTTTCTTAGTGCTTGGCTATGTACTTTACATGGGCCCTGCCCCTCCTGGCTTCTGAGGGACTCATCTGAGACACTTTGCACACAAAGACTTGAGTTACAGTTAAAGGTTGGAAAATTAAAGCTAAACTATGAAAAAAAAACATCACAAAGCTTACTAATACATTACTAGCCTTACAGAGAGCAATTTTGTTGTACATGAAGATTAAGACGTTACCATAATGTCTCACAAATATTTTTCACTGAAAGTAATAAAAAATTATTGTAACAAATCACAAATGTTTTAACTGATTTTATGCCCAACTAAGACACTTTCTCCCATGTTTTGTAATATACCCAAGTTACGGAGACAGAAAAAAAGATGACTTCTAACTTTTTTGGTGTTTCTGGAATAACTTCAGAGACTGAAAATAGTTTGCATAAAAGCTTAATGTCTTCTACTTTCAAGGCTTCTGGCTGGACTGTATTGCACTTAAAGGAATCCTGTAATCATGCCTTAATTTTCCTGTTGTCTCCTCTCTGGTTGCACTGTAGTATTTCAACAGAGTAGGATGAAATACACCACACACATCCCACAACCATTAATATTCACTCAAGATGCAGCCATCAACTTAGTACATATATAATGGGGACAGAAGGTACCTGACCCATGCTCACTGTGCCTTTCCATGACAGTTTAGCAGAATATAGATTAATTATAAACTATGTCCCTCAGCAAGCAGGTATTCTTCATGTTCAGGGTTTGAAAACGCAAGCTTTGAAATACAGGTTTACTAAGAGTCAGAAACTGTGACTTATCAACAGCTTTGCAAAACAAGCCATGATGAAACCAAGATTTTACTTTCACCTTTCTTAGAAACTTTAGTCTACTTGATAAAAAGTTGGGATGAAGAGGGACAAGCCTTTTTTTCAGTTCTCCCTCCCTCAAACAGCTATAAAGGGCTTCTTGTTGGGTAAGGATCTGCCATGCTTATTTGGTCAGATCCTTTTATTTTCTTTTTGGAAGCCCTTTGATAATTTTAATGATAAATTAAAAGAACAGGTTCCTCCTGTCTCCTGCCATGTCTCAGACCAAACGCCACTGACACTTTGCGAGGTGATCTTCAACCCAGTTTGAGTGCCAACAAGTTGCCAGTCCTATTTTAGCTCACAGCAGCCTTATTTTGGGACTGGTTGGCTTTCGTTCAATTCTTTACCTGTCCTGAGAAGGAGCAGAATGAAACTGAAGTGACTAATCTGCTTCCATGCCCTTGCAGGTTTATTTCTCAATAGCACAATGAGAAGAACCTGCTTACCACAGCAAACCTGCTTTCTATAGAAGGTGTGAGCAGTGACAAAGCTGGATCTGTTCCTTGCTGTGCCCTAGCATTCAGAAGGGTTTTTTTAATGACGTCTTAAATTCAGCTGAAGCCAGTACTTAGTAGATATTAAGTGGTTTTGCAAAAACCAAAGCTAAGTAAACAGAAAACATGCTTTGCTACATCTTTGCTACAACTAGTATTGGTAATAACTGGACTGAACTGTACATGTGACACTTTATTTTTGTTACAGCCTTATTTATTTGTCTTATTTATTTTTTGATCATTGCTATATACACAGATGTTGAGATAACACATGACTATCTGGCAAATGGTCATTACTACAGGCTTAACTTTGCTCTGGAGAGCAGAAGGCTGTAAAAAAGGGCTCCATCATAGTTAAATCCTAAAGCTGACCTACTTGGTCATGGATCTTACAGAGAAATGGAAAAGTAAAGCATATAACAGGTGTTTGTGATTCATTCGTAAACTGCTCCAGTGGTTGACACGGCACAATGACTGTAACTTCACCCTTGCATCATTCTGTTTTGCAAGTTCTGTGTGTTCAAAGTGAAAGGTCTTGGGCTGCTGGAAGCAGAAGAAATAAACTTTTCCCATCCCCTTTACACCTTAGAAAGCTCATGTCTATAAAGCTGAAAAATAAAGAGGTTTGTTTCTTTGAATTTTATTGCTTTATTTCTGGCAGTGGAAACATGCAATAGGCATGCACCATACAATAAAAAAATGTTGTGAATGCACTACAGTAAAGCAGGATTTAAATATGGGAATGGTGTTCTGCTTACTGCCCACAGTACACTCTGCACTTTTAAGTCTGGGTAACACCCAGACGCTCCAAACTTGTAACATCTACTCCAATTCACACTGATGAACTATATACTAATGAAGCAACATTATCTGAAAATTATCTCAAAAGGATTAAGTCATTCTTTTGGTACAAGGTTCATTTTAAACCTTTGTGCAACTTTATAAAGTTTATAATGCAATTATAATGCTTTATAATGCTAAACCACTGCTTTGTGCTCCCCAAATAACGTACATCGTATCTTTAAGAGCATAGTTATCTTCTATGCAAATATGAAGCTTTCATTTCAAAGCAGAACTTAAAAAGCAGTTCAATAATGTAGGTCACATCAGCAAAGATTTTCTAGAAAGTTCTGCTGTAGAAAAAATATCCACAATGGTTTAGGAGATGGTTCCACTGTGACATGCTGTACTCAATCAGAAAGCTTCCACTGTGTTTTTCCTCAGTCTTTGGGAAAAGCACAAAAAGTATTACCACTGAACATGAGTGTTTTAGATAGTCCCAAGAATTAGGACTATTTCCACATGCATGGAAAACAATCTGTAGTTTCATTCTTTCATCATGGTTGATAAGCAGCTATCTTCTAAAACAACCTTTAAAACAACATGGAAATAGGCCCAAGAATTAGAACTATTTCCATGTTGTTTTAAAGGTAGTTCCAGGTTGTTTTAGAAGATAGCTGCTTATCAACCGTGTTGAAATAACGAAACTAAAGACAATCAGTAATACAAAGGCACTGATACATGAAGCATAGATGCTAATACAAGTTTTGTATCATCCTAACTCCAAAAGCCCCTTTTGTCAAGGCTGAATTCCTGTAAAATACTTCACGTTTCCCTCACCTCTGCGGCTCATCAGTCCTGTGCTAAGAAGCAAGTGAACTCTTGCTGTGTCAGAAGGTCCATCTATCAGTGGAATGTCACAACATAATGCCAGTTTTCTCCCCAGAGCCGACAGTCAACTTCTCCCAAGCACTACAAATTCTCACGCTTGCTTCTTGTTTCTTTTTAACTGTATAAACGTCTGAATCCTACTTGATCTACCTTTCCAATACCAGAATTCTGGTGAATTGTAGTATGAATTCAGCAATCATAGACAGCAGAACTGAAAACACTTAAGATTCAAAGGTATATGGCTAAGTGACAAATTGTCTCCTCAATTTAGAACTTAGGTAAGAAAGTTTAGAGAAAATTGATAATTATTTCTGAATTTTTACCAATTTACACGATCTAGGAGAAGCATGAAGTACCTTACCCGTAGAATACAGTTAGTGCTAGAAGGACGCTTTGAGGACATCACGCAAAATTCATCCTCAGAGCACACATTTCAGAAGTCCTCCCCCCATATGGCTAAACGTGGGATGAATGGGAGGGGGGCAGCTTTCCCTGAAGAGCAAGTTTCAACATGGAATTTGTTGGACAAATCATTTTTCTTGGCACAATCTATTTAGGACTTCTAAATATACCCATGCAATTTATGCAAAGATTATCCTGTTTCAGCATTTGCAGAAAGCCAGTGCACTCACATCTCAAAGCTTAAATACTGTCATTTATGCATAAAGCATATACAAGGACAAAAACTATTAAACATTGAATACAATTTTGCTATTCTTTAACTACAAACAGTAAAAATAGATGTTCGTAGTTAAGAAGTTAAACAACTTTGAATTTTGGACACATGCTTCAAATTACTGCTCTGTACAACTACTTGAATTAAAAAATTAAACTTCTAACACAGATATTAAATTTAGTAAATGCAAGTATCCTTAAAATATACTCCTTTACACATCCCTTTATCTTCTAAAGAAAAGCAGCACTATCCAATGGAGGCTGGGAGAATGTAACAGTCATAAAGCTCCTAGTCAGTTTTGAATACAGTCTTAGCTGGCTGCTGAGAGTCTGTAGCTGTGACCTTGCTGAATTAAGTGAATTTTTAAAAATTTCAATTAAAGAAACCTTTTTTTAAAAATCACTTCCCAAACTCAAACGTTAACAAGTTCCACTTTTTCACCTTAAAACTGATATGAATAAAAATGTGATTTAAGACTAGAAAGTTGACAGCTGATTTAATAATAAAGTAATCACAGACTTTTAAAAGTACCCAAATATAGTATTCTGTGTTAATGTTAGCAGTAATAACCTGACAATTAAGTACATTATGTATTCTAAAATATCCTCTTTGCTAACATCCAAACTTCAAGTCGTTCTCATTTTAGTGAAGACATACTATAATCATAAGCCCCTTGTTGAAACCATAACTAGTGTAAATGAGAAACTTAATATGAAAACCTACAACAACTACAATTTTAGTTCTATAAAAAAAGCAAGGAGGAAGCCTTAAAGTAGACACATGAAATTGCTTGGTTACTTTCCACAGTGTCATTAGTGGTAAAGATGAACTATAATATCTGGTAGACATCTGTGAACAGTCAACCTGACAACAAAAGTGTTTTAAAGTTAAAGTGACACAATCTGCTGTGTAAGCTAGCTA